CCACCTCCCCACCCAGCACCCCAGCCTTCCCTAGGGTGATGGTTCAGGATCTTCTAACGACTTCCTGACGCCTAGGGGTGATCCTTAGGACGCTTTCGTTGTAAATGAAAACCTGATTCCAGTGGCTTCCTTTGGGCCCCGAGAACTGAGCGGTCCAGTGGTGGGCAGGGGCCTGGTGCGGTTCGATCCGGCCGCTCTCCGGGCCACGTGCTCCAGCCGCCTCTGCGGCCGCTCCCAGGGCAGCAGCTTCCCGCTTTCCACACCGGAGGGCGCGTCCTCTTCTCACCACGAGTGGAATGTGGGGCGCCCTCCGTGGAAGGACCGGGCCACACGCACCCGGAGCCGGTGGAGGGGAAGGACTGCATGAGCCGTCTAGCCCAGTGACGGCGAACCTCTGAGCTCGGCGTGTCAGCATTTTGAAAAACTCTAACTTCACTCTGGTGCCGGGTCACATACAGACATTTTTTGATATTTGCAACCACAGTAAAACAAAGACTTATATTTTTGATATTTATTTTATGTATTTAAATGCCATTTAACAAAGAAAAATCAATCAAAAAATGAGTTCCCGTGTCCCCTCTGACGCGTGTCATAGGTTCGCCATCACTGGTCTAGGTCCTGGCTGGGCGACAGGAGGGGTTTCAGTCCCTGGCCTGGTCGATCGGCGCTGCCCTGAGACTGCGGCTGGGCCAGCCCTGCCTGGACCCTGGTGGGGCCTCAGCTGGACGCAGGAGTGCGTGTCCTCACCTGCGACCACTCGCCTGGGCGGGGGGTGTTCTCAGTGGATTTCCTTAGATTTGAGCAAGAAAGATCTTGGGCAAAAGCTGACTTTTTTCAACTTCCATGTTTTCATGGCATAAATGCTCCGCGTTCATCGTAGAGAAATTGCAGGTTCAGTGACGCAGCGGGAAGAGGGAGGAGACTGCCGGCCGTGCCCCAGCCACCACCCCGCCCAGCGCAGGCAAACCCCCTGCCGCCTCGGTGGGCACGTGGGTATCAAGCCAGTCCTAGTGGCCTTTGTGCCCGCCCGCCTGCTCCCCTCCCGTGGCTGCCCCCACGCTCACCGCCCTCTCTGAACCCCCTCTTCTCTCCCAGGCAGCCCTGGTTTTACGGCTGGGGCTTCAACCTCCCGCGAGGACAGGCCCTGCTGGAGAAGTGGAACCTCATTCCTGAAGGCGTGGACATCCTCATAACCCACGGACCCCCGCTGGGTAAGAGTCAGTGCAGCC